ATAGAAGTCTAATTTTGACTGGTAAACAAAGGGCTAATGGAAGGATAGAAACTTGCAAAATTCACGATCTTTTTCGCCAAATATGCCTAAGTGAAGTTCATACTGAAAATATTATGTATTACATGAATGGGAATGTTCTCGTGTCTTTATTAGAAGTCATACATGATCAGCGGCGAGTGATTGATCTGCGTAAACATGAAGAGAAGCAAGTTTATATCAATGATATAACAAGTATAACTCGTACCTTTATTTCAATGCAATCTCTTGATTTAGATTCTCCAGATGTGATTTGCTCTATTGTTTCACAGTTCAATTTGCTTAAGGTGTTGGACGTGTTATCAGTTTGGTACGATTTCTCTAGTGTAATACCTGAGCTTGTACATTTGAGATATGTTGCTGCAAGAATTGAGGGAGGTCTTTCACTAGCCAAATCGAGAAATCTACAGACCATAATTCTTGTAGGTTTTGAACAGACAGAGTTGGTCCACCCATTAGATATCTGGAGAATGACAGAGATAAGACATTTGGATATTGAATGGCCACTATACATATCAAATCCTCTTGAGGCAGAAAATAATAGTGTTGGAGAACAACCTTTTTTTCTCAATAACTTGCACACACTTACTCTCCAGTTCTCTCCTTTTTCTGCGGAAATCATAAGAAGAACTCCCAATCTAAAAAAGCTAAAGATGTGCGAAATTTCTGACTATCCTTCTATTCCTGATTCTCTAATTCTTCTAGAGGAGCTGGAGACACTAAAGATAGAGGTGAACTCCATTGACCCGTCGATTTTCTCTGGGGCTGTTTTCCCTCCTAATCTCAAGAAGTTGACATTATCAAATACTAAAATACCATGGGAAGTTATGAATTTGCTGTCTAATTTACCCAATCTTGAGGTGCTAAAGGGTATTATGCATTTTCTGGAACAGATTGGACACTTAATGAAGATGTTGTGTTTCGCAAATTAAAACATCTACTAATTAGGTCCAAAGATCTGCAAAGGTGGGAAGCAGCTGGTAGTGATAATTTTCCTATGCTTGAGAAACTAATACTGAATTGGTTGTTTGAACTGGAGGAGATTCCCGAGAGTATTGGAGATATAATGACACTAAAATTGATCCAAATAGTTGATTGCAGCTCTGCTGTAGAGAATAGTGCAAAGAGAATTCGAAAAGAGCAACAAAGCTTTGGAAATTATGAGCTTCAAGTTCAAATTACTGCTATGGTATGTTCATTTCCATCTTTGATTCTTAGTCAATTCTTAATTCTAATATATACATAATATAGTGTTTGATTGTATAGTTTATTCCTGTATTTGAATGTTTTGCGAACAATGTTTGCAGCTGGGATTATAAACCTTTACAGAATAGGGAGACAGTGAAGGTACCACTTGTTGGGCGCGTGACTGAGGTATTTTGTAGAGATTCGATGCTTTTAACACATGCTCTAATGGGGTTTGGAAAAGATCCCTCCATGCAAAGTGCAGTGCACTGGCTTTAAGTTTTTCAATTAGTTTTTACCTAGCAGCAGCTTTAATTTATCTTTATTGAGTTGTTCTATGGTTATTATTGAGTTGTAATAATTTCTAAATTGAAGAGTGTAATTGTGTGGGTGAAGTTTGTAACAATAAGTGAGTTTGACTTGTTGGAGAGTAGTTAGAACATTTTGAGTGAACTGTGAAGTTGAGATACTAGAGTTAGTCTCTTATGTCAAGGATATTATTATTGTAAATATATTTTAAAGAGTCATGTACACGTTGAGGCCCTTGCTATTCACACAAGCCTTTGTCATTCTTGGCTATTATTTTTTGTCATCTCTCTGTACCCTAACTGAATCGAATTGTCATGTGCAATATTTATCAGTTACACACTTGGGTAAATTCCTATTTTCATCAGAGATTGTCATTCCAAACTTGTCGAATATGAATCGGACTATTTTTGGGCATTTCTTCACCAAATCCGAGAATACTCTCTTGATAAACCTTACATCCAAGAAGTTGAAAAAGAAACAATCTTATACGACTAAGATCAACAAATCTAATGAAAATACAACTTCTGCAGAAGATGGAAAGAGTCCAATGGCAAAAACAACCGGAATGGATCAGAGCCCAAAAACAAAGCAACAGTAGTCCAAAAGGATAAATGTGGGTTTTAAAACTTTTTCGAAATGTTAATAAGAATCCTTACTGGTTTATTTGATACTATGAAAGATTTCTTAATCATATCATATATTATTATAAGTGGGAAGATCTTAACTTCAAAGTTGGATTACGGTTTTACCCCTTCACTAAATTTAACTATTAATATTAATAAAATAATAGGATAATTTCAGAGACCTCCCCTCTGGTTTGACTCAATAACATTCACCTCCTTTGTGGTTTACGATATTTACATTTACCTCCCTTATTTTGAGTTTTTGGTAACAATTCATTTTACTTATTAATTATTAATATAAAAATTATAATCTGACTAATTTGCCGTCTTCAAAATTCTATTTTTTAAATTCGTTGATAATCGATTTATTTTCATCTTCCATTGAAACCATTTTGTTTAAATGAATTTATAATTTTATGCAATTGACGGTAAAATCACTTAGAATAGTGTCAATAAAAATATAATATTTTAAGATGACTTAATTACTGAACAGGAAAAGAAAATGATCAAAATTAGAACAAAATGTATGTTAATTTGTTTGCATTCCAGTCGATATGAAAATTGAGTTACTCCATTTTTTAAGTTTCAACATTTGATATAAAATTCTTCATTTTCAGTAAAATTAGACAAACAAATCGGTGACATCAACTCTAAAACAAGTTAAGCAGAATGGATTAATGGAAGATGAATTTTTTATTTTTTTTGGAAGATGAAAAATATTCTTAATGAAAGATGAAATTTTTTATTTAATAACAATTTTTTTTTTGGAAAAAGCTTTTTTTACAAAATGGGATATATTAAAAAGGGTAAATTAATCATATCATAATTTTTTTACATTAATAATTAATAAGTTAAAATGAATTGTTACCAAAAACTCAAATAAAGGGAGGCAAGTGTAATATTGTAAATCACAAGGGAGGTGAGTGTTACGAAGCCAAACCTGAGTAAATTAGGCATAATACATATATTGGACCCTAAACTTGGCTTCAAATTTTAACTTTGACCTCCAACTTTCATAGTGCACAAATAGGCACTTTAACTTGTACAAAGTAGAACAAATAGACACACATGTCCTACATGGCATCCTACATGTCATTTTTTGTCCTACGTGGTGTCCTACGTGTATTGTGCCATGTAGGACTCGTGTGTTTACTTGTTCTACTTTATACAAGTTAAAGTGCCTATTTGTGCACTATGAAAGTTGGAGGTCAAAGTTAAAATTTGAAGCCAAGTTTAGGGTCCAATATATGTATTATCCCTAAATAATAATTATATGGTATTAATCCATTATATTTCTAGATAGAATTAATTCACGAAAATTCTAAAATGGAGTTTGGTAGATGAAGTGTTTCGTAACAACAAAAGGCAGTAATTTATATCCTTTAAAAACTGAAATATCCTTAAACATTAGACAACAAAATGTCCTTTGAATTACTCGACATCTTAATATGGCACACATATTTAGATTTTAGTCAGAAACTTTACATATCCCATCGTAACAACAAAAAGCGGTAAATTATATCCTTTAAAAACTAAAATATCCTTAAACATTAAACAACAAAATGTCCTTTGAATTACTCGACATCTTAATATGGCACACATATTTAGATTTTAGTCAGAAACTTTACATATTCCAATATTAACCAATCTAATTCTCATAGATGTTATGTATATCATCAATTTTTAAATGACTTTTATAATTCCTGACTTATAATTATACATACCAAAAAGTTGTTTTCAAAATCACTTTATATTAATGCATACACTTTGTTATTCCGATGTATAGTTGTTGATGGATGATTATTGGTGGATGTAATTATATTGCTCATCACATTCACTTTATGTTAATGCATACACTTAGTTATTTTAATGTATAATTGTTGATGGATGATTGTTGATGGATGTTATTGCTCATCACATATGCAAAAAAAAAGAGGTAAATTTATTTATTTTTTGTTAGTTATTCAGGAAGTTCCTCCATTCTTTTAATTTGGAATAGTTTCTCTCTTTAATTTTTGTTATTTAAAAGTTTTAGAATTCATTAGCTATTTTATTGTTTTTAGTCTACTCTATTTCATCTTATTTTCGAATATTTGTGGGATGAACATAAAGTACATCTGAAATTGTATAATTTATTGTGATGCTATAATAATGTAATGGATATTGATAAATTTTTATATATTCTCTTCAAACATTATATGACATCTGCATAACTAATAACTCATGTGAAATCTACGTATCAAAATGATACAATTTCTTAAAACTATTTGCTATGATTGTCAGATTGTGCATTTGATGTTAAGCTATATTTTGGTGTTACACTCCTTCTCTTTTTGATCACTTAATTTTATGAATAACTATTTATACATATTGTAATTATATTTAAATCATTTACAAAAAATTAAGAAGACTTGAGTTCTCCTTTCCTTCCATTAGAAGACTTGGGAGTCAAATATCTCATTATCATGAAAGTGAATGACAACGAATAAAAAGTTAAAAGTTTCACTTTAAAGGGTGAGTATCCTATGTCTTTGTCCCCCATTTAGAAAAAGGTGGTGTAATAAAGAAAAGTAAATTATGTGGACAAAATCTCTTAGCCTAAGAAATAAGAATAACATAGCAGAGAGATAAAATCTGCAAAGCCTCTTATCTTTTAGTTATTCCAGCAAACAAAGAGAAATGGCTTATGCTGCTCTTTCTTCACTTATGTATACATTGGAACAACTCTTCAAACCTAATCAATATTTCGTTCGTCGATGCTCTACACAACAACATCTTCAATCTCTCTATCAAAATTTTTCTGCTCTGCAACTTTTCCTTGACAACACTATCACAAAGTAGTCACAGATGATATTGACTGGTACAAAAAGTACTAATGGAAGGATGAAAACTTGCAAAATTCATGATCTTCTTTGCCAACTATGCCTAAGTGAAACTCATACTGAAAATGTTGTGTATATCATGAATGGGATTGTTCCCTTGCCCTCAGATGAAGTAGAAGAGATCATTCTGGCTGAACTTCAAGAGAAGGAAGTTTATCCTCCAATGCATTGTAGTGGTATAACTCGTACCTTTATTTCAATGGAATATTTTTATTACTACGATTTTCCAGAAAGGATTTGTTCGATTGTTTCAAAGTTCAAGTCACTTAAGGTGTTGGACGTATTATCACTCTGGTACGACTTCTCTTGTGTAATACCTGGATATGTTGCTGCAAGAATTGAGAAAGCTCTTTCACTAGATATCTGGAGAATGTCAGAGCTAAGACATGTGGATATTGATTCGCCACTAGATATATCTAATCCCCTTGAGGCAGAAAATCCCTTGTTTCTGAATAACTTGCAAAATCTTTATCTCTATAACTCTCATTTTATTGTGGAAATCATAAAAAGAACTCCCAATCTAAAAAAGCTAAAGTTCATAGATGAATCTGAGCATCCTGACTGGTCTGCAATTCTTGATTCTCTTACTCTTCTAGAGGAGCTGGAGACGCTACTCATAAAGCTGGAGAGCATTGACGTGAACATTTTCTCTGGAGATATTTTGTCTAGTAAAATCAAGAAATTAAGTCCTAATATCAAGAAATTGATATTATTAGGTACTTATATACCATGGGAAGTTGTGAATTTGCTGGCTAATTTACCTAATCTTGAGGTGCTCAAAGGGGATCGTGCATTCGATGGAACAGATTGGAAATTAGATGAAGATGTTGTGTTTTGCAAATTAAAATATCTATTAATTGGTGAAGCAGATCTGGAAAGGTGGGAAGCAACTGGTAGTGATAATTTTCCTATGCTTGAGCAACTAATACTTTATGGGTTGGATACACTGGAAGAGATTCCGGAGAGTATTGGAGATATAATGACACTAAAATTGATCAAAATAGATAATTGCAGCTCTTCTGTAGATTATTTTTGGGAATTGTGTATTAGGAATGAAGGATGAAGAAAGAGAAGGGTACTTGAAGGAAGCTGGTGATGATTATACTGCTTCTCATTATATACTTCCACATCTTCTCAATTTGTGAGTTTCACTCCCAATTAAATGTTTTATGTTATTCTTTTAATTTTCTTTCTCTTACTATGTTTTTAAATCTACTACCATGTATATTGTAGCAATCAGTCACAAATCAAAATTTTCACGCACTCAGAAAATAAGACTAGCATATAAAGTGTGGAGGAAAATATTGTTTACTTCCATATTTATCTCCAACTTGTTTGAAATGGAGTTATTGTTTTATTGATTAGAGATGGCAATGAGACGGGGCGGGTTGAGCTTAACCCGCAATAATTTTAACCCGCCGCGCATAACAACTTTTTTTCATTTTCAACTCACCATACCCCGCCCCACATAAATTTTTGAATATTTGCCGTTTTTAATTAATTTTGATACTAAAAAGAAAATTCATAAAAATAAATTCATTTTCTTATTAAGTTGTATTAATTAAATATATAATAACTTAGAATTTTATTTTTTAAAGGTTAATTGGGAAGCATGTAAAAAACCGTATAAGTAGTTTTTATTGAACCATTTTCACGTATTATCTCGAATATTTTAGTAACTTTTAAGAAATTATCTTAATAAATAATGTTTATCACTCTTATAACAGGTAAAAAGTTAAAATTAAGTTTGAACCCGCCACCCGCTCCGCCCCGCATTAGTTTTTAAAAAACTCACTTTACCTCGCCCCGCATCCCAACTGCCCCACCCCACATAGCCTTAAAATCATCCTGCCACATTGCCATCCCTATTAGTGATATCTGTTAATCAATAACTTATTAGTTAATTAATCTCTTTTTTTATAGTAATTATGATCATGACAAGCTTTCTGCAAATAAATTTCAGATATTCATCACAAGCCAAGGCACAAGATTTTGAGATTTATGGTCCAAATGCAACATTTGAAGATCCCCTTATGCATGCAGAGGGGTATGCTAAACTTGTCTATCCTTTCACACGTCTAGTAATTAGCTTGTTCCTTTTGTAATCCTGACTATGAATTTTACTGTTGATGGCAGGGTAAAGCAGATTAAATTGTCATTCTATTCGCTTGGGAAGGTCTAAATAATTTACTTCTTGCTAAGTGTCCTATTTCATACTAGTCTCCTACTATGCTAGATTGATACACTTTATTGTGGAAAGAAAAAAAAAAGATATAGGCAAGAACCTTTTGGAAAATTGCATTGCGCGATGCAGTTTTAAAATCAGTTTTGCTTCTAAAATAGGGATACCATAACTTATTTCTTGAAAGGAAATACATCACGAAAATATCTAAGGCTCCCAGCATAATCTCCGTTGTATGTTGAAAGACTGTAACTACTATGGTCTACGTCAAAAGTTCTTAGCCAACCCTTTCTTCTTAAAGTTAATCAATTTATTACTATATTATGTCTTCCTTTAGGCTTGGGACGTTGTGTATGGATAATGTCAAACTGTTGCTTTTTGTACATTTCAGGTGTTCAGTGAGTCGAGAATCATGGAGTACAACGTCATACAGAAAGAAATTTCTCCTGGAAATAAAGAGGTTTAAGATACATCCATCCTATTGCATCTTCTTTTCGCTTTGTTTATTCTCTGCTTTAGAACTCTGACATTAAGGTTGATGGCTTCAGATTTTAATTGAAAACAAACAATATTACAAGTTCTTGGGGAAAGACATTCATATGATATCACTAATCAAGTTGTACACAGAAGGAGGAAAGGTTGTTCGTCATGAAGATTGGTATGTATATATTTCACATCAAGAATTCTCGCCATGACATCCTAACATTATTTTTCAGTTTGTGTAAATGTAAGAGGCAAGTAACACTTTGTTTTGCCATAGTGTACTTCTTTAAGTATGTTCATGTTCTGTGCAACTTCACATGTTCGATAAACTTAATCCTAAAGTCGCACAAATTCATGGTTGGTTAATGCCACTTTTAGCTATCTCTGTGTTCTTGACGAATGACATAATTTTGCCAAAAGATGTTTCATTTTTGGTAAAACGGAATAAGGCTTGCTAAGTTGTGTTCTCCCTCATTGGTATAATGTGACTTGAACCCTCGACCAACAAGCTTAAGGCAGAGGAGTCTCACAAATTGAGCAAGTCTCACTCGTCTTGCCAAAATATACTCTTATATAATGTTTTGTGTACTTGTCACATGACATACTTTTGCAAAAGATGTTTCTTTTTGGCAAAACGAATGAGCCTTGCTAAGCTGTACTCCCCCATATTTGCTTACAACATGACTTGAACCCTCGACCAATATAATTGGTTAAAGGTGGAGGTGTTTCACCAACTGAGCAAGCCTCTCTCGTCTTGCCAAATATATTCTCTCTATATATAATATAATGTTTAGTCATATAGTTTATTCCTATTTTTGAGTGGTTGTCAAACAATTTTTGCAGCTGGGATAAGAAACCTTTATGGAATAGGGAGACAGCGAAGGTACCACTTGTTGGTCGTGTAATGAAGGTATCTCGTAGAGCTTCGATGCTTTTCACAGATGCACTAGTGGGGTTTGGAAAAGATCCCTCCATGTAAATTGTAGTGCACTATTTATAAGTGTTTGAGGATGTAATTTTTTTTTCACTCTGATTAAATATGTTTGAAGTAAAGTCACTTATTGATCCTCCATTTATAGAGTGATAGAGTCATCTCGTCAAATGTCAAGAATTGAATGGCAAGGCACAATTCTTACGAGTTCTTCTCACGATTTTTGTGCAATTGAAGCATGCAGACAGAACAAACACACTTTGAGTATTTTTTTAAGGGAAAATGCATATGTACCCCCCTAGACTATGACCGAAATTCCAAAGACACACCTAAACTTAACTAGAGTCCTATTACCTCCCTAAACGTAACTAATTTAAAATGGAATAAATACACCCACAAATGCTGACATGTCGTAGAGAGTGTGCACACTCTCTTGAAGGCAAGTGATGAGTGCACAAATTGGACACGTCGTTTTTTAATTGAAAACTTTATAATTAGTTAGTACACATATTTATTGATAATCAAACGCGAAAATGCATAAGTACCCCCCAGCCTATGTCCAAAATCCCTGAGACACACATAACCTTTACTAAGGTCCTATTACCCCCCCCCCCCCCTGAACTTATTTTATATATAATTTTCTACCCCTTTTCGGCCTACGTGGCACTATCTTGTGGGTCCAACGCGTGTTGACAATTTTTTCAAGGATAGTGCCACGTAAGCCGAAAAGGGGTAGAAAATTATATATAAAATAAGTTCGGAGGGGGGGGGGGGGGGAATAGGACCTTAGTAAAGATTAGGTGTGTCTTAGGGATTTGGGGCATAGGCTGGGGGGTACTTATGCATTTTCCCATAATAAAACTAATATATATTTAATTATTTTTATTTCTTTCTTTGTAAAATATTTATTTTAATTTTTTTCAATTAATTTATTATCTTTTCACTTTTAATTATTTTTAATAAATTGTGCGTATTTAAAAAAACAATTTAAAAGTGTCCTTTAATTTTAATGTTTTAATATTTTTATGTTTTGTTTGATTTTCTTCACGTATTTTGATATCCGTTCAAAATTAACTTATTTTAAATACAAGACATTTGAAATCAAATCAAAATGAAAGACAAAGAAAATAAACTCAATAAAAAATAAAAGAGAAAAACAATGAATGTAAGTAAAAAAATATAGTTTCGATACAAGGTAAAAAACTGTGTATTAACTTAATTTAATTAGAAGATAAAAAAATAAGAATATTTTTTAAAAAAACAATTAAAAATTTATTTATTTTTAAAAAATTAAGAAATATTATTTAAATTTTTTTATTTTTAAAAAAAATAATATTTACACGCATGGCGGGCGAGTGTGTACAAACACAACCAACTTGGGTGGTTGAAGGTGCCACATCAGCACAAAAGGTGCACAAAAATATGAATAAAATGAGTTAAGGGGGTAATAGAATCTTCGTTAAGTTTAGGTGTGTCTCTGGGATTTCGGTCATATTTTAGTGGGGTACTTATGCATTATCCCTTTTTTTAATAATAGGCATTAATATGAAGAAATTAATATAAAGAACGGCAAGGATAATAATTAACTTTTTGTGATTATGAGAATGAAGAGTCGCTTGGCATGGTACGGTATAAAAATAGTACCGAATAAGATATATGTATTAGTAAAGTTGGTCATGCTTAGATTATTAAAAAAATTGTGGTTGAAAAATGAGAGAAATCCCTCTATTTATAGTCAACAAAAGGTAGTATGAACAAGTGTTTTTTGTGTCTTATCTGAAAAGTCATGACCTTTTCGAGAAGTCACAACCCTTTGAAAAAGTCACAACTCTTTGGAAAAGTCACAAATCATGGAAAAATCACAACCCTTTGAAAAAAGTCACAACTTATCATAAAAGTCACAACACTCACCGAAAAAGTCACTACCTAAGTTAAGGATATTATAGTAATTTAACATTCAAGTTAGGAATTCATGCTTCTAAGGTAATATAGATATAGATATAGATTGGTTTTATATAAAAATATTATTTTTTTTAAAATTGCAAGGTCAGGTATATATGGGCCATTCTAAAGCACACATTTCTTATCCTCTTCAGTGTGCAAAAGATTATAGAAAAAAGTTAATCATTTGCACAAAACAAAGCTACTAAAGCAGGGAGATTAAATCCTTCAGAAATGACTTATGCTGCTCTTTCTTCACTTATGTATACATTGGAACAACTCTTCAAACCTAATCAATCTTTCGTTTGTCGATGTTGTACACAACAACATCTCGAATCTCTTTATCAAAATCTTTCTGCTCTGCAAGATTTCCTTGACATCACTACCACAAAGGATATTGAAACTCTTAAGGTATCTAATTCATTAAATCTTACTGATGTTATATATTCTTTTTAATAATATATAAACAATTGTTGTGAGTAATACCTGAGCCACCATGCTACTGATCCATGAGAGCACCACAACATTACATCTTTCCCACTGAGTTGATAGATCCCCTTTGTACGAACTCTTTAGACAAGTTCCATCTACAAAGCAGAGTTTGTTCTTAACCAGTAGCGCAAGTTGTAACGACCTACTCCACAATCCATAGTTAGCTGGGCTTTTGAGCTTGATTGCAATCAAAGTTGTACCTGGCGTATTTGATGCATGAAGGTAGAGAGGATGAGAGTGTTCAAGAGAAGCCACTGTTAGATCTGCCATTACAGAGGCTGTTTGATCTCCCATAACCAAAATTTATGCAGTGTGATCTGATCGTGAAACCAATACGCAGCTCGAGATTGAATTCCAATGTCGCTGCTCTGATACCATGTGAATTTGTTACTGTGCTATTGAATCCATGGAAGCTTGTTCTTCCATGGATATGAATGAATGAATAGCTCTGTTGCGGAAGAAAAGAATTTTTATTATCAAAGTATTAAAGCTACAATGATGAAGGAATTCATCCTTTTATAGACCACATACAGATCACACCTTCCACACCTTTCATACGCTACATAGAGTTGGTTACATAACAACCTAACAGAATTTGTAACTAACTTGATTCTAGTAGCTTCTAGAATCTTCAATAACGACAAATGCAAGCAATGAGAAAAATAGCACAGCTGAAAGATACACTAAAATTTTCCATCGAATAGTTGAGTGAATAAAATAGTCAATTTACCTTTTTTTTTATAATAGTAAAATTGAGAAATTATGGTTAGTGGAAGTAAAACTTACCATGTAAGTTACCAATTATATGTATTAGAGAAGGATTTATTTTGTCCAAACTTTTAAAATTAGCTTATAATGAAAAATATTTTTCTTAAAGAAAATACTTTTGGTAAGAAACAATTAGTGTTTGGCCAATAAATTTTAAAAGCATTTTTGAACCCTTTATTCTTTTCTTCCAATCATCTATTTGTGCATTTATTTAGCTTTAGTTTGGTTGGGGGAAAATGTGTTTCTAATGGAATTTAGGCCTATCTCAACCCTTTGGATAAGAGTTGGTTTCTTGTTTCAAGTAAGACTGTGGGGCTGGTTAATCTTCAACTTATGTGTTTTTTGTTGTACAAAATTCTAGATGGTATTATTAACTTAAAAGTAACTCAATACGACTTGACATTTTATGATAATAAAAATTTGGCATAATACATAAATGTCCCCTTTAACTTGGCCTCATTTCACATATATATCCTCCAATTTTGGTGTGCACAAGTAAGCACTTAAACTTGTATAAAGTTGAACAAGTAGACACATGAGTCCTATGTGGCATAATACACATAGGACACCACATAGGACACAAATTGACATGCACGATGCCACGTAGGTGTGTCTATTTGTTCAATTTTATACAAATTCAAGTGTCTACTTGTGCACATTTAAAATTGGAGGGCATAAACGTAAAATGAGGCTAAGCTAAAGGTTATATTTATGTACTATGCCTAGAAATTTCAAGGAAAATTTGTGGTGGAAGTTTATTATATTCGTCCAACTTGACACATGATGTCTTCATTATTCAACGTAAATTATTCATTTTTACAACAGGGTTCAATGTCTCTGACAAGTTGGAATCCAATGTATATGAATCAGAAATCTGAACGACTAATGTTTGAAAATTCTTTAGGAAAACAACAAGAGTTTCTTTATTTTTCATTAGAAGTTTATTATATATTAATACAACTTGACATATTATTATGTCTTTATTTTTCATTTCTTTTTTCTCACTTTGACTTAGTCAATCCACAGTTTACATCCATGAACCACAAGTTGTGTGGTTGTGATGTAGATGTTAAATAGAAAATTGTCCAAATTCATGTAAATTTTCTAAGGCAGAGACATTAAATCTGCGAGGCTCTTATCTTTTAGTAATACCAGCAAACAAAGAGAAATGGCTTATGCTGCTCTTTCTTCACTTATGTATACATTGGAACAACTCTTCAAACCTAATCAATATTTCATTTGTCCAAGCTCTACACAACAACATGTTCAATCTCTCTATCAAAATCTTTCTGCTCTGCAACTTTTCCTTGACAATACTACCACAAAGGATATTGAAACTCTTAAGTTTATAGAAAAGAGGATCAGAGATGTAATATACAAAGCAGAAGATAAAGTTGATTTAAGCCTAAGAAGCATCATTTTAGCGGATTGCACAGAGAGCAGAGAAGGGGCTTGTAAATTCTTCGAGGAAGAATTGGTACAAGTGGAAAAGGATGTTGATTCTCTCAGGCAAGAGGTGATGCAGATTGAGTTTAACAAGCATGGAAGCAAATCCGCAGTAACTCTCTCCTCACCAGAAAAAAGTGCAATTGAGGAAAATAGTATTATTGGGACGGAGGATGACTTCAACACCATACTTGATCGCCTCACTGCCCAAACAGACGAGTTACCTGTCATACCAATTTTTGGTATGGGAGGTATAGGTAAGACAACTCTTGCCAGAAAAGTTTGTGATGATTCATACATTCGTT